TTCAGTAGTAATAGAAGCACACATTACATTATTTAAACCTAAAGATAAATTTTTGCAACTAATGGTATTTAATAATTGTTTTATTTAATTATTATCAGAATTAACTTAGATCGATTTGCATTACTATTTTTTTTCATCATAATAACATCCTATTTAATCATTTTCATAAACTTGAGAACAAGATATTGGATTGGCATAACCTAAACTTTCACAAGTTGTTAATTTTTATTCTATCTTTATTAATGCACATCCTTTATTAGTCCATTAACATGTTTATTAATGTTTTTAAATACTTAAACATCCTAATTAATTAAGAAATGGAGTAGAACATTAATCATTTACTGAACTTTGAACACATAAATTAGTTTTAATGTCATATTTACAAATAACATTTGGTTTAGATATAGCTTAACAGACATTTCCATTTAATTTCATTAATGAATTTTTTAATTCTAAAGGACAATTAGTATTTTAATTAATAAATATTGCTTAACAATTATTACCATTCCATAAACATAATTAAGAATTGTTTTTCAAATTAACACAAGCTTTTTCATTTAAATCCATATGACATTAATATAGATTAAGATCTTCTTAATTTAATTCTAAACATCTTCCTTTATAAAATGAACATCTTTTTGTTTTTATTTTAAGACAAGCTTTCTTAGATAATCCTGGAGCATTACATCCTAATTTATTAAATTCATTTATTTCAAGACTCTTACATTTTTTTTATTTTTCATCATACATACAAAATTATTATGATTATATACAAACTGAAGCATTAACTTCATTTTAAGTTTCACATTTAAATTCTTTTTCTTAAAATACTTTACATTATGAATCTACCCATTCACATAATAATTGAATTCCATTAAGTTTCATTAAAGAAATACATGCATTTTTATTTAATTTTTGGTCACATTTTATAACTTAATCTTGTTATATTGAATTACATTGACCATCTTAAAATATACCTATTTTTCAATATTGTGAAATATTACAATATTAATCATTTGTTGTTATAGAAATACATGCTTTATCATTTAATCCTATATCATTACATTTTAATTTTGATA